GGGGAAGACCCTCTATGAGATGGACTGATTCGGTGACTGGGGTAATCGGGATGGGTGTGTCAGAGGCAGTGCGGTTGGCGCAGGACAGAGCAGGGTTTAGGGCTGTTGTGCATAGGGTTGCTATGAGTCGCAAACGACTCGACGGCACATAACAACAACAACAACAATCTGAACACTCACTTTCAAATGCAGAAATATATTCTTGTTGTACATGGAGTAAAGCATCCCTCTGTATTTTATGGGGAATATTCTATCCACCAGTTGGAGTATCATGTATACACATTATTACAAATAATACTCCCCTGAGGTTCAAATCCACCAGCAGAGCTCCACAGAAGATAGAGGAGCAGTCAATTCTCATTATGATTTAAGGCCCTGGAAACGCATCAAAGGTTCCTGGGTGTGAGAATAACCCAAAAGCAGTGTGTGATGGACAGAGATACCTCAGAAGGGCTTAATCTAAAGCATCGAATCCAACACCTCTCAATTTGACATCCAAAGACTCCAGAAAGTTTGAGGGGAAAAAAATAACTTCATGACAATGTATTCAAACGTTGTAAGTAAACCAGTATAAAATTAAAATTTTATTAAAATTAAAAAATAAAAGATGAATTAAAGGTAAGATTATACATAAAAAAGATCAACAGGAAGAAACGGAACTCATTCCAGACTTGACATTCTGGTTAAAAAATACAAGACAGACCCGAGGTAGGCAAGACACCTGTAGAGTCATACACGTGACCACACCAGCTACAGCTAGTGTGTGGCCAACAAACGGGAGAGAGCCAGACCTGCCTGTTCACAACTATCCTCCTGACACAACCATCCCTGATCTATCCCTCCATCAACTGCTCTCTCCTATACAGAAAGGCTACAATTCTCAACAAACACAACATGACAGGTGAGAGGAAGACATCTTCCAGGTAAACTTTTATCTTTGCAATCTCTGAAATACTTGTACCTTTTTAATAAAAGCCTTTAATTTATATTGTATGATCAAGCTCTGTTCCATGTAATCCTCAATTAAGACAGCCTCAAACTAGTGATAATAAGTAAATACGAGGAGATCCGAGCTCCTGTCCCACGAGGAAAATACTCACGTAATAGGGAAATTAACAATAGTTGGATTCTTCTCCACAAAGAAGTTGTTCTTAGTGAATCTCTTAATACAAAAGATCAGATATGGAGGGAGCTTCGTGAGCTGGAAGCGCTTTAGGAAGTTCTCCTTGTAAGTCTTATATTCCTAGAGGAAAAAAAAGAAAACTAAAGAGTTCAGTTAAGAATTAGAGGATAGACATGATTGTTTATGTATGCATTTATTTAGCCTTGTTTGGTTTTTAAATGTAATTTTGCCTTACAACACAACTCAGAACTCAAGTGATCCCAGAAACTGTATGAGAGATATAGGAGTAGTAATCTGGCTAAGGCTGATAAAATGCCCTCTACCAGAGATGTTTTACCAGCTCATGATCACTCTGTTGAACATACAAATAAATGAAAGAGGATGTTATTAAGACCTGTGAAAGTAACATCACGGTTGAGAAACATCCATTGCCATTCAGTCAATTTTGACTCACAGCAACTTAATATGGCAGATAAGAACAGTCATAGTGTTTCAAAAGTTGTGATTAAAAAAGCAAAATGCTACATCTTTATTCCTTAGAGCAGCTGATAGATTTAAACCACTGATTTCTGGTTGGCAGTCAAGTGCTTACCCAATACACTAGGATTCCTCCAGAAACAAAGATACTAAATCAGTTCCAAATCAAAATCAAAACCCACTGCCATTAAGTGAGTTCAGACCCAGAGACCGTGGAGTTCCCTGCTGAGGCTTCCAATCTTTCTCCCTCAGTAGCTACTGGGTTCAAACTGTAACCACTGGTTTGCAGCACAATACGTTACTACGCCACCACAGCTTAGAGACAACAAGAGTCTTGATTTAAAATAAGGAGGAACCTCCTGATACTCAGATGAGTGCCCTCGGGGAACAGGTACTGGTCAATCAGAGGAGCCAGTGTCACCCCACAGTGTGTGAGAACCACCCACTTGCCTCACAGGTTCCTGGGCTTGGTGGTAACACTCACCCGTGGTTATTTTTACGGAAGGGCAACATGTAAGAGTAGTATTTCTTTATTTACATTGTTGATCTGTGTCTCTTACATTCAACATGTTACACTACTCCTCCTCCATCATAAAAAATAAAAAAATGCTACCATTGTCCAACGCAGAGAGAGGACAAACAGGCCAGAGCAGGACTGTCTGTTACAATTTCCAAGGCTATAAATCTTAACAGAAGCAGACTGCTTCATTTTTCTCTGGAGGAGCAGCTGTGGATTCAAACCACCAAGTAGGGTCTCTATACGGATATTTTTTTTTATATATAAAATATGGCTTTTTTTTGCTTTTTTAAATTTTATTATTTTTGTGTGTGAGTGTACCGTCAAATCAGATCTGACTGGTACAGGAGGAGATTGTCCCTCCTTCCCTGGCAGAGCATCTGGTGGATTCGAACTGTGCGCCTCTGGGATTGCAGTGCAGCTTCTTGACATTATTATTATTAGAACATGTCCATTTTTTTCCACAGTACAATTATGGTCCTACCTTTTCAGCTTTTATTTCCTAAAGATCCCCTTTCCTTTCTTTACACTATCCAGAGGTAGAGGTAGATAACTTAAAAGGAACTGAGAATTACAAGAGCAATCAGCTAGAAGTAACAGAGGACCTAGGAGGTTCAATGAAAAAGATGCACCAGAAGGGTCCCAGAAGCCGCAGGCAATGGCTACCTTCTCAGTGATGCCGTTGAACTTGGCCAGGATGTTGAAGAGTGGCACCTGGGGGATAATGAGCTGCTCCTTCTCATCCTTGTAGAGCGGGGCGGTGGGGAGGTCCAGGGTCAGGTACATGAAGGTGGACTCTACCATCGTCTCCTGGTACTCATCATTATGCAGCAGCTGTTCTTTCTCTTCTGCGGGCTAAAAGCAGCAAGAGGGACAGGGAAGTAATATAAAGGCCTAGGACCACATGCAAAGAGAAGAACGCTTCTGCTGTGTCCACATCTGCTCTATACTAAATGACCAAAGATGCTGCCCAAGAGGCCCCAAGACAGGGCTATTTCCCACACTGCAACACAGTACCCAGACAGATTAACACAGAGACCGGACCATCTTCAAAGAAGGTCTGCTTCCTCATCAAACCATCTACAAAGGTGTACACACACCACCACCACCCACAACCACTGCAACGATTATCGCTTCCATGCCCACTAACCCATCACCACCACGCCTACCACCCTATCACCATCACTCCATCACCACCACACCCACCACACCCACCACTCCATTACCATTGCCACCACCCCATCACCACCATGTCCACCACCCCACCACCGTCACCCAATGGACAGACACTTAAAGCAGCTGGCTCCCGCCAGAGAATACAGATGTGTCTCACTGTAGTGTGTTCTAGATATAACTGAGCAATTTTTACAAACTGAAGGTTAAGGCAAGCCCCCCATCAAGGAAGTCTATTGGTACCATTTTCCCAGCAGCACATGCTCACTTCATATGTCTGTTACCTTTTTTATAATCCTCACAATTATATCAAACTTTTTCATGCTATTACACATGAACAAACTAAAGTATAGATATAACTTTTATTGATACCTACGTGGCTCTTCCCTTCACTGCAGCACCCTGGAATCATGTGGCAGGACCATCGAAGTGAATGGCACGAAGAGGATGGGGGGACACCACTGGCAGAGGACCCATGGGGCCTCCTCAGGCAGAGGGCCGGCCTCACCCATTCTGCCATCAGCCCACTGTCTCCCCTCAATCCTTCGCACACATAAATCCACCCAGGACTCACCAGATCAGGATGGGGAAGTTTCTTAGTGAAGATCCTCATGGAGCCCTGGAAAACGTCAGTCACGATCGCTGTACAAATGGAGATCACATTCAGTCAAGTGGAAAGGCTTTCCAAAATGTATTCAGAACTCCTATGCTTCAAAAAGGAGCTCAAATATTTCAGCACAAGAACCAAGGCTCTTGACGACCACAGGTTGCCCTTTGTAATGTGTACGCCACCACACTCTCTTTAGTGCTTTGTGTAAATAACAATTTTATGTCTGTCTTCTCCCTTGAAACCCCCAGCAAAGGGCCTGGAGCCTCGGGGGGGTGGGGGGGAAACCCTGAGTATGAATGGTATACAAATATGTGAGTCACAAAAGTTCACACCTGGGACAGGATACAGCCAAAGAAGGGCTAACCTGTGGCCTGGACAAGGACATGATGTCCAGGCTGCACTGGACACAAAGCAACATGACAGACTGAGAGAACAGATCAGAACAACAGTACTGAGGGCATTAGAGGGTTCTGGAGTCGTGGCAGGACACAGACAATTCAGAGACAAGCATAGGCTCGAGACACACGGCAAAGGTCGCACAGCCAACTAGCAGGAAAACAGCACCAAGACCATTCCCCTGATGCTGTGCAAATCATTCGAGAAGTTGTACTCTATGGAAAAGAATGCGGCATCAGGACTGGAGGGAGACTCATCAACAAACTGTGTTATGGAGATGACACAACTTTGCTTGTTAAGAGTGAGTGGAACCTGAAGCACCTGCTGAAGATCAGAGACTACAGCCTTCAATATGGATTACATGGCAACATGAAGACAAAACTCCTTAGCACTAAACTGATCAGCAATGTTATGATAGATGGAGAAAAGAGTGAAACTGTCAACAATTTCATCTTACCTAGATTCACAATCAACACCCTTAGTACCAATACTCAGGAAATAAGGAGATATCCTGTATTGGACAAGTCTGCTGACAGGGACTCTCCAAATTACTGAGGAACAATGATGTCAGTCTGAAGCAGGTATGCCTGATTCAGGCCTTGCATGGTCTTGCTTTGTAGCTAAGAGCTGAACAATGACTAAGGACAACAGAAAAATTGATGTCGTTGAGTTGTGGTGTTGAGAGCACTGAAATATCCCAAGAAATGCCAGAAACAAGTATGTCTTGGAAAAAGTGCAGTCAAAGTGCTCCTTGAAGGCAAGAATGAAAGGCTATTCCTTGGAAAGGGACATCCTTCTTGAAAATATGAAGGGTGAGCACAGGAGGAAGACCGTCAGTGAGATGGATTAACACAGTAACTGCAGCAATGGACCCAAGCATGTCAAAGACGATGAGGATGGCCTAGGATAGGACAAGGTTCAGATGTGTTGTTCATAGGGTTGCTATGAGTCGTACTTGACTGATAGCACCTAACAACAACATTTGCATGTGAAAGTTAAGACAATAAATTAGGAAAATCAAAGAAAACTGATGCCCTTGAATAGTGTTGGAGAGGAGTGTTTAACATACTATAGCCTGCCAAAAGAACAAACAAATCTGTCTTGGACGCAATGCAGCCAAAGTGCTCCTTAGAAACAAGGAAGGTGAAAGTCTGTCTCAACTTATTCCGGACATGTGATCATGAAGAACCAGTCCTTAGAAAAGGATTGCATAATGAGCAGAGTAGAGGGTTTGCAAAGGGGAGAAGACCTTCCTTCAATGAGACAGAGTAATACGCTGACTTCATCAATGGGCTTAAGCACTTGAGGAAGGTGCAGCACTGGGCTGCTATGAGCGAGTCAACTCGATGGCACCTAACAGCTACCACATCCCCCTCAAAATACCACATCAACAGTCACTGTGAAAGAAAACTGAACTAGGGCCCCAGTGATCACCGAAATCTAGAGTCATCAAGTTATTAATATATTCATGGAAAACAGCTCACCACCAAGTCAATATGGACTGCTGAGTTACACATGAATTGAAAACCTGTACAGAGCCCCACACTTCCTCTAGGCACAGGGTTAGGATATCATTTCCATCTGCTTCAGCCTTCACTTAAAAACCAGGCAAGCCACTACAGAGTTAGCCTTACTTAATTATCCAAGGGCAGGAGCCCTATTCTTAGTCCTTCTGGTTAAAAATGGTTTTTAGGGTACAATTATGACCATCTTCATGTCTGACCTCTAGCAGCTTTGTTGCTGTTATGTGCCGTCGAGTCACCTGTGACTCATAGCGACCCTATGTACAACAGCCCTAAACTCTGCTCTGTCCTGTGCCAATCGCACTGTCTGACACTCCCAT